GTGGACATAAACACCCATTTCTCTTGGGCATATGCCTAGAACAGACTGCCAAGTCACAAGGCAGGCGTGTGTTTAACAACAGTAGATCAGGCCAGTTTTCTAAAGTGGTTATATCGACTTACTCTCCTATTAACGATGCTTGAGAGTTCTCATATAAAGTTATATTTTAAAAAGCTCTTTTTTTTTTTTTTATGGTATGCGGGCCTCTCACTGTTGTGGCCTCTCCCGTTGCGGAGCACAGGCTCTGGACGCGCAGGCTCAGCGGCCATGGCTCACGGGCCTAGCTGCTCCGCGGCATGTGGGATCTTCCCAGACCGGGCGCGAACCCGTGTCCCCTGCATCGGCAGGCGGATTCTCAACCACTGCGCCACCAGGGAAGCCCTAAAAAGCTCTTTAACTGAAACACAAGGGCTTTAAGACTTTTTGGTTTTTGTATTGTTTTTTGTTTTTCCAGTTTTTAGAGTAGGGGTAACATAAGCAGAGTGCTCACACCTCGGGGGATACACAAGATGATTTTAGGTGGTCTGAGAAGAAAATAGTACAACTTCTATCTTAGTTTCTTATTCTTTCACCTAAAAAGTAAATTTTACTAATATCCAATACATCAATTAACACTAGTGTGCTTATTTACATAATTATATTTATTCACTTTAGGCATACTGTGACTTATTGCCATTTGTGTGTGCCTGGTTGAGTAGAATTATGGAACATCTATTTCTAACAGAATTCTCGCTAAATGAACAAGTGGCTAAAGGAGTCCTACAAAGATGACACTAATAATGTAAGCACAAGCAAACAAGGAAATGGCCAAGCTGACAGTTCTATTCTATAATATCTCTTTAAAAGATAAAAACTGTGACAATCTAGTCAGATCTCACAAGAAGGAGGCAAAAAAATGTCAAAAATTAGTACTTTTTAAAATATAAACTTAATCTAGTACTATTAATGACATTTTGCCAATAAGAATTTTAAAACATAAAATATCATCTATATCATCTGTCATTCCTATTAGTTTTTTTGTATTTATCTTATAATATATATAACAGTAAAAAGTACATGTAGATGTAATTTTAAAGTAAATTTACACATTTTAGAGATGCATGCTCTATTTTTCTTTTTTTTTTTTTTTACCAACAAGGTACACAATCAAAAGCCTTCAGAGGGACTTCCCTGGTTGTTCAGTGATAAAGAATCCACCTTCCAATGTAGGGGACTCGGGTTCGATCCCTGGTCAGGGAACTAAGATCCCACATGCCATGGGGCAACTAGGCCTGTGCACACGCCACAACTGGAGAGAAGAACTAGAGAGAAGCCCGCATGCCACAGTGAAAGATCCTGCATGCCTCAACTAAGACCCTATGCGGCCAAAAGTAAAAAATAAATAAAATATTTTTAAAACATTTAAAAAAAAAGGCTTCAAAGACTCTTGTTTTAGCATAAGTATTTTTTAGTATTAAGCTAGTTAATCCTTAGGCATAAATGAACTTCTAATTTTTAAAGTCATATACAGCAAGTATACTCCATTAGAAACAGCCAGTTGCTATTTAATGTTAAAATAATATATCTGAAAAGGGAGAAGGACAAGAATCAACTGGGAAGAGGCATAAGGGAACTTTCTTGGGTACTGGTACTGTTCTGTCCCAGTAGGGGCTTGCATTACACCAGTGTATACATTTGTCAACTCACTGAATGGTACATTTAAGGTAAGTGTGTTTCAGTCTATGTAAATTTTACCTCAAAAGGAAAAAAAAGAATCTATTAAAAATATTGACCTCTAGTTAATGAAATACATTCTGGAGTGTCTAGGAGTAAATTATCTGCAACTTACTTTGAAATGCATTAAAAAAAGATGGACTGCTGTATGGATAGAGGGATGGATATGTGAACAAATAGGTGATATAGCTAGTATAACAAAATGTTAAGTGCAGAATCTAGGTGGTAGATATATGGCTGTTCACTATACAATTTTTAAAATTCTCTTTATGTTTGAAAGTTTTCATGATAAAATGCTGGACAAATAACAAATCTACATAATAGCTGAAAATTTTAAATAGTGTAGTGATACAGGGGAAAAATTAGAAATTCAAAAAGCAAAAAAGATAGGAGCATTCAAGTACTGCTGCTTAGTGCTTTTACATACACTAAATCTGTGAGGTGAGAATTATCCCTATTTTACAGACTAGTAAACTGAAACTTAGATTACAGAACATACCAGTGTGAAGCTCAGCCAAAAGCTGAAACCAACCTGATCAAATTTACTAGATGTCTGAATCCTCTAGGCTCACATTCCTCACAAGGGGATTCCTAGGACCAAAACAAATGTCTTCTCTACAGAAGAGAAGTCACTTCTCCACAGCAGAGAAGTCACTTCTCCATGCCACATGGACTAGCTCTGACCATCAGAAAGCTCCTCCCCATAGCCTGAAGAAATGTTTCCTCCATGTTCTCCCTCCTACGTTTCATTCCTTATGGCCATATATTGACAGAATCCCAACATGGCTGGCCTTCATATCAAGGGATAATATTTGAAATTTAAATAAGTAGGATTCCCCCCCCCATACTTGATAATATCATCATCTACAAAGCTATAGCTAGGTGTAAAGTGGGGATACTATCTCACAGAATTGGGATGAAAATAAAACGAGAACACTGACACATTCAACTGTAACAAAGAGTAGGGACTCAAACATCTTTCTTCTTTTTCTAATCTTTACCTTTCTTTGGAAATTACAACACGCCACTCACTATAAAATATTTTTTAAAAATTAGAGACTTAGGGCTTCCCTGGTGGCGCAGTGCTTGAGAGTCCGCCTGCCGATGCAGGAGACGCGGGTTCGTGCCCCGTTTCAGGAAGATCCCACATGCCGCGGAGCGGCTGGGCCCGTGAGCCATGGCCACTGAGCCTGCGCGTCCGGAGCCTGTGCTCCGCAAATGGGAGAGGCCACAACAGTGAGAGGCCCGCATAATGCAAGGAAAAAAAAAAAAAAAAAAAAAATTAGAGACTTAGGTCCTTCCCTTGAGGAGATCGCGTTAAATGTGAACACACACATTTTTTCCCCTGTATTTACTGTATCTTATCTAACAATGTAATTGATTTTATTTCCTCATTTTATTTTCCATTTTGCCTTGGTTTGGAATTATAACTCCTAGGAATTTTACGTACAATTAAATACACAACTATGACTACTTCTGCAGCACTTTTTTTGTTTCAAAATTACTACAGGTGGCCAACATATGCAAGCAACATGTTAATGAAATTTTAAGTCTATTTTCTTTTTGACCCTCAGGAGATATTTTTCAGAGGTAAGATTAAAGAAAGCCATTGTGTTACAAGAAAATGACCAACTGGTGATGCTAACTTTTAATTCACTTTTAACTATGTATAAACATATGTGCCCTATAGCTGTTTATTTCTTACTTGATGAATATACTCAAGGGGTTCCCTAAAGGACTCCTAAAGTAACAAATCTTGCCCCAAAGCATTATGGCACTGTAGTAGGAAAAATAACCCATTATTCCACCATGAAAACTTTGCCTTATTTAAGGAAAACCTACAGTTCAGATGTGGAGAAAAGTTATTTGCACAGCCTCACGAAATCTGAATAAGACTGTTTTTTTCCCCTTGAAATCTGAGGTTGTTAGTGTTGGAAGGAATCCTAGAGATGATCATTTTACAGTTGCAGAAATGGATATTCAGACAGTTGAGATGATTAGCCCATAACAGAGCTCAGACCAGATGCCAGGGTCCCCCAATTCCTGACCCAGTGTTCTTTCCATTTTACAATCATGACAAACTAAAAACAAAAAAAGTGATTATGTCCATCCATTACTTCAACTTCACTAAATTTCAGTCTGGCCACCCATGATGTCACTTCCTTTTGTGAATGGGTGTATTTGGGGGGGGGATCTCAGTACCTTCACTTGCATATAATACAACATATTTAGAGCCTGCACTCATATTTATGCCACTATTTCCCACGTCTACTTCTATTCCTCAAGTTTACTAACATAATCTTCAACATGCTTTGACCCTCCTTTTCACTGTTTCTTATTTCAAGCAATTAACTGCCAACTGTTATAAAATAAAAGTAAAAGGGATTTATTTTAAGACACAAAGCACACATGTTAGCAAAGGGCCTAATAAAATGTAATGTTATGTATTACACGCAGATGCTTTCTAGAGAAAGAGCCCAGCGAAAACCCTGCTACACAGAAAGAGAGCGCTATTGTGAACTGTTGTGAGAGGCCGAGGATAAGGTCTGGGATCTGACCTAAAACAAACATGGAGGTGAAAAGGCACGAGGAGCTTACAGGACACACCAGCCAGTGCCAAGCTGCAAGCTCCCGGCTATTTGGTGTCGGTTTAAAAGAACCATGGGCACCAATGATGCACGTACCCCAGGACAAGAATAGGGCTGGCGGGGCACCCGGAATCGCGCTCAGGGAAAACTCAACAAGTCTGGATGGCGAAGGATGCAACGACAGACGGATGAATGACTGCCAAGAGGCTCCTGCTGGCTCTGAATGACCACTACCCCTTTCCAGGATTTGCGCCGCGGGCGCCCGCCGGCTCTCCGACAGCCATTTGCACTACGCTCCCCTACGTACCCCGACGTTCGCCCAGGACCGCGGTGTCTACCAACGACCCTGCCCGGAGCGATGGCTCCACTCCAGGCCCGCTTCCCAGCGGCGCGGGCTCCCGGTCACCACCGGCTTTCCGGGAGGAAGGCAGCGGCGGGCCTGCCGGGGCCGGAGCCGCCTTCGAAAGTGGGCGGAAGGATGGCGGCCCTCGCGGGGTGCGGGCGCGGCCCGGAACCCTCGCCTCCGGCGCGGCCCCGTCCTCCCTGCGCAGCGCCGCCCGCGCCCTCAGCCCCGGCCGCAGTCGGCCGCTCGCGGCGGGCTCCGCGCTCCGGGCTGAGGCGATGGGGAAAGGGGGCGGGCGCGCCATCATGAAGGGGAAAATGGTGGGCGGCGGGCCCGCGCGCGGCCGCCGTACTCACCCGGGCCGGCCAGTGCGGGTAGCCCTTCATCTTGGCGAAGACCAGGTCGCCCGCCTTGTACTCGCGGGGCCGCGGACGCGCCATCCCGGCCGCTCCCCTTCCTGGTCGTCCTTGGGCGCCGCGAAGATGCCGGGAGGCCGCCCCCCCGCGGGCCAACGGACTGCGCCGCGCTCCCCGCGGGCCTCGAGCCGGGCGGGCGGGCGTACGAGCTGCCGCTCCGACGAAGGGAAGCGGCGGCGAGGCGGTATAATTGCTTATCAATTTTAGAATCAGTTTTTCGGGATCCTTTAAAAATTCTGCTTGTTTACGGAGTGAAGTGCATTGAGTTTTATTGCCGCCGCGCGCTGCTCACAGGCGCCGCGTCGCCTGCTTCATGCCGCCACTGCCGCCGGCGGCCTCTTTCCCGGGCTCCCGGGCGCGGCGCGAGCACCGGGCCTCGCGCCTCCTCCGAATTCCTCCTCGGGCAGCGACCGCAAACACGATCTTATTATTGTTCTCGCGCGCGCTCAACATCCCCCACCACCACCACTTCCCGCTCCCCACCCCTCCCCTCCAGGGCCGGCCGGTTAATTCCTAGGTACACGGCCGGCTTTCGCGCAGAAACCGAGCGCGCCAGCCCGGCTGCTCGGAGGGCGGGCGGTGGGTGAGTCTTCCCCCAGCACCGAAGCCCGCGCCGGGCGGGCGGGAGCGCCTACTCCAGAGGCCCCCCGCCGCCCGCTCTCTTTTGTTCTTGGCCCGGAGCTGCCAGCCGCAGCCCAGCCAATCACCACCTGGCCGCCCCCCTCCCCACCCGTCCGCGCCACATCGGGGGCGCTCCCACCGGCGTCCCCAGTCCCACGGCCACCTCCTGCTGACTGGTGTCCCTCCCGGCTCCCCGCCGCGGGCCGCTTCTGCGAGTGCTCTCGGGTGAGTGGGGCACAAAGGCGCTCCAGGCCGGGGGCCGGCCGCACGAAGGGACCCGCTACCCAGAGCATCAGGCTGCTGGAAAGAGCACCGCTCTGGGGTCAGCGACCTAGTTGGGGTCTCACCCTAGGCCTGCCCTTCACAGTGCGGTGTGACCCACCCAGGGCAAGCTAACCAGAGTCACCGGAGGTTATCTAATTTGCCAAGCGGGACAGTCGGGATTCGAACACGGATCTCCATAACTCCAAAGTCCGGAAGCGGTTATGCTTTTCCATGCGTGGGCCTTATAGGCCTGTAGTTTTGTGAAAGGGACTTATTCTGGCAGGTCACTCGTTTACAGTCCTGGCAACATTTTGGACAAAGTTTTTTTGAATCTGCCCAATGAATGCTGCCTCTCTCATCATTCTGAAGCTCATCTTTAAGAGATCAGCTGACGCAGCTCCTGAGCGTAACAGACTTTCTGTGGTCCTCATCTTGTCTCCTTGTTTGTGTCTGTCCCCTTTTCTAGGCTTTCTTGCCCTCTCCCCCTTTTATAAAGGCTACAGTTCCTCCCAGCATTTGTCTTCCTCACTTGCTATGTAGAATTGTGCGTGTGTTTTAACCCCTGCTCGTGTTCCTTTAATGGGGCTTTAAATTCTCTAGGCTTCTTGTGGATTGTTTACTTTAATAGTGCTTAACATTATCCACTAATGCATCTCCTCACTACTTGCATCTGGTGATTTTCCTTTTTAGATATTTACCCTTCCTCACCAGTCCTACAGTTTCACCTTTTCCTCTTTTCTCACTGTAGACTAGTCTAGGTCCTTTTGCCTCTGTTGCAAGAGGCTGTGTAAGTCTTAGTGCCTTCGGGCTGCTATAACAAAATACTGTAAATACTGTAGACTGGGTGACTTATAAACAACAGAAATTTATTTCTCACAGTTCTGGAGACCGGGAGGTCCAAGATCAAGGCACAGACAATTCATTTGTCTGGTGAGGGCCTGCTTCCTGGTTCACAGAAAATAGTCTTTTCTCTGTGTCCTTACATGGGGTAAGGGGTAAAGGGGAGGAGAGTGAGGGAGCTCTCTGGGATCTCTTTTATAAGGGCACTAATCCCATTGATGAGGGCTCCATCCTCATGATCTAATCACCTCCCAAAGGTCCCACTTCCAAATACATTGGTCATTAGGATTTAACGTGAATTTTGGGAGGATACAAACATTCAGTCTATAGCAGCCTGCTAATGTGTCTCCCACCTCTAGGACTGCCATGTATACCTGTCATCATGTCATCATGCCCTGCTCATGAATCTGTGAATGGTTCCTATATCCTCTTATGCCAAACCCAGATCCCTCTGACCAGCTGCCAAAGCCCTAGCTGTTGGCTGCTCTCCCCACATGGTCCCGCCTCCCTCTGGGCACAAATTAGAGATAGGGGAGAGGAGAGAAATGTGAGGGGAAAGGTGGTCGGTTGGAAGCCATGGGAGGACTTTAAATAGGGGAGGGGCACGATCATAGTTTGGGTTTAGACAGATTACTCTGGGGGCCTGGGTGGAGGTGGATTTGAGGGTGAGAGTCTGGAGGCAGGAGCTCAGCTGGCGGGTGGGGGGCTCTCTCCAGAAGAGAGAAGACAAGGGCTGAGACAGGCCTTGCTGACTCACTGAGCAGTATGTAGCAAGGAAGAAGGAGGAGTCAAAAACTCTTCCCTGGTCTCTGGCTTAAGCAATGGGATGATTAGGTTTTTTTTGTTTTTTTTTGCGGTACGCGGGCCTCTCATTGCTGTGACCTCTCCTGTTGTGGAGCACAGGCTCTGGACGCGCAGGCTCAGCGGCTGTGGCTCACGGGCCCAGCCGCTCCGCGGCATGTGGGATCTTCCTGAACCGAGGCACGAACCCGGGTCCCCTGCATCGGCAGGTGGACTCTCAACCACTGCGCCACCAGGGAAGCCCGGGATGATTAATTTTGACATTCACTGAGATGAGGAAATCCATGAAGAATGGGCAATTTGGAGATGAGATCATGAGTGGTTTTGTGTGTTGAGATTTCCCCGGGGTGTCCAGAGAGAGATGCTTTAGTGGAGAGCTGAATACACAGCATAGGGAGAGTGGTCAAGGTAGAACACAGAGACTTGAGTGACTTCAGTAGATAAGTGGTGGCTGAAACCATGAGGGAGGTTCCTAGGAGACCGTGTAGAATGTAAAAAGCGGTGGTGAGGATGGAGCCAGGTAACACCAACATTTAAGAAGACGAGGCGTGTGGTCCTGTAGGAACCAAAGAATTAAAGAATTTCCAGAAGGAGGGAGATGTCCAGATACATGCCACAGGGAGGTCAAGTTAAGATAAGGGAGGCAATGGCTCCATTTAGTCTGGTGATTGAGAAGTATTTGGTGTCCTTGTTGGGAACTGTGTCACTGAAATGGTGATGAGAAGAAACCAGAGAGCAGTGGCTTGAGATGGGAATGAAAGGTGAACATGTGGAAGCAGGAAGTGTAGACAGCTCATTCCCAGCGGTGGAGAAGGAATAGCCCAAAAGCATGCAGGGAGAGTTGTTCTGTTGTGATTATTTGGCTGGATTTTAAAGATCGGAGAAATTTGAGTTTGTTATTAGGAGAAGGAGCCAGTAGAGTGATTGAAGACAGTCCAAAGAAGGGACACTTGATGGGGGTTTGGTTATATCCATAAGGTGGAGATTTCTCCCAGTCTAGGCTTTGGTTTCAGGTTTTTAATTGAGCCTCGGCCTGACTGCTCAGCACACATTTTCTGCCTGCCTCTCCTGCCGTATCAAGTCACACTTAATGACACATGCACATGGGATCCCCTTACAGGCTCCCTCTGACTGGTCATCGGGAATCTCCTAATGTGCTTGGCTAAGAGCCCATCTGTTTTGCAGCCAGGTTGGATGCAGACCACCTTGTCAACACAGTTTTGCCAGGGATGAAGCATTGCTCTGTGGCTTTCCCTGCAGACAGAGCTTTCAGACTGGGTCCTCCGCTTTTATGCAAAGGATTGTTCCTATGGCTATTCCAGAACAATGCTCTATTCAAATATTTCACAGATAATAAGTAACCCTTTAGAGATACCACTAAGACCATTATAAGAATCTGATGTATTTTATTTTAATCAATGTGGCCCCAAGAGCTGGTCTATTTGCTATGTCAAAATAGAATACATTAATTTTACCTGAAAATTGAAAGGATCTCCATTCACAAATGGTGATAATATCAACTTCCTTTGATCACCTGATTTCAGCATCCTCAAATCCCAATGGGCTACTACATCTCCCTGCCCTTGGCTACCTGATCTATTTTTTGCCACTCCTTACTCACACATCCACACATGCTGTCAACCCTGTCCTGTTTTCACCTTCCCCTTTCATATCTTGGCTCAGCTTACTGATAAAACTCTTTTAACAGTTCCTTCAAATCTTGTCTCCCAATTCACACTGAGGTGGGAGAGGGAACTCCCACCTCAGTGTGAGCACCAGGAAGTTCTGGGTTGGCAAAAGGCATCATAAACTCAGCATGGGCCACGATGGGGCAGGGTAGGGGTCAAAGGTTGGGGTCAGCATTGCTGGAGGGAGGGTGGGTAACAGCAGCAACTGTACTCAGGCCACAATGTATAGAAACAGAGAGCCCCCCAATAATAACACTAGATGCATGTTAATGTTCTCTGAAGACATACTTGAGTCACCTGGATCTTATTTGGGGAAGGAAAGGGATATTTAGGTCCTGGGAATTTTCCTCCCTGATACTCGCAGTCCAAGGCTGTTTCTATTAAGACTCTTCTCATTCTTCTGCCTTCACTGTCCTGTCTCAGGCTGAGAAACACTGGAGAATTTTAGTGAGTTATCAGCTATTTGGGAGAAGAGGTGATTCAATATGTAGAAAGTACTAAAGCTGAAGAATTTGCAAATTTAGCTACCACTTGGGCTAGTATTGTTCCAATATTTGTGTAAATGCTTCTGAAGAGAGCCTTGGATCAACAGTTAGCATTCATTTCTTCATTGATTTATTGAACAAATATTTGTCAAGTACTGCTATGTGTCAGTCATTGTTCTAGGACTAGAAGTCATGGACAACAAGGAGGATGGTGAGGGAATCAAAAACATGTCAGATGAAGTGTTGCAGGAGTTACGAGCGGCCAGTGTATCTAATGGCATCCATCTGAAGGGCTGCTGTGTGGAGTGAAGGATGTGGGAGAAATGATGCGGTGCTAGCTCTAGCCCTAGCCATTGTGAGGTGTAGTAACTTCCACTTTCACCCTCTTGGAATCCTGGCCCAACATGTAAATACAGTAAGTCCCCTACATACAAACGATTTCTGTTCCTGGAGCATGTTCAGAAGTCCAATCTGTCCGTA